AAAAAAAAAAGGATCTTTTATCATATACTGCAAGTGTTCAACTGGATGTTTAGGCTTCCTTCTTGCACAAGTCTTCATGGCACACTTTACAATTGTATCTTATAAGAACTGTAATTTTTAAGAGACGAGTGAATCGTACTTAGATTATACTTGTCACTAACAATTTTGAAAAGGGAAATGGTACGGTATTAACCTTTCATGTGACAATATTTTGATTGTGTTCCACTGCATCATTGAGCCGTAACAAGGCTTCTATGTTAATAATGCTGTCACTATTTAAAATCCAAGATCAAAACTTGGGTATTCGTCCATTTCCTTCACACAAGTGAGTTCCTGAGAAAGATTCTTTTTATCACTAGCATGACCACAAGAAGGGGCGGAACTTGGCATATTGGAAGCGTTTGCTCCATCACACCATGCATCAACCTCCGTGTTTTCTGAATAAAGCTGCTGCAACAATAAGAGAGAAGTTAATGTTATACTTTTCGTTTTCATTTTTCATTTTTTTCTTCTTCCTCTTGGGTTGAGGAACACCAACATTCTACCAAAAACGACGACAAAAGAGTATCTATATATGAATCATAACAATGAACCGTGATGAAAAATGATTGTACACCATGAGTGTGTCTATTTTCTCAGCAGAAAATAAGGAGAATTGTGGTTTGTACCTGGTCGAAGTTTCCATTATCCATGTCCTTAGCTACTTGGCTGCCACTGCAACTGGATATTTCTGCAAAACCGGAATTCGTTTTAAGTTTTTTGTCAGATGTTCAGAATAAATTGAACGTCTTGAGAGTGATTCACATTTCAAATTTAAAAAGTTGCACGATTTGCCTTTGGAAGACATAGTATCAGATGGTTTGTCAAGGTCTATATTTTCTCTTGATTCCCTAGCATCCACATTTTCAGTTGATTGATCATGTGGGACTAATGATTTTGGTGGTTGATCATCTTCAGGGAGTTCGAGAACTGCAGCATTTGAAACTTTAGGCCGCTTTGTAGGGGTCACCTTGTCATCTGTATAACCTGCAGCCATGCTTTCTTCCTTCCTAGGTTTTTGCAGAATAGACAAAATTTGACTGACTGCACAATGGGGAAGAAAGTATGTTTGATAAGCAATATGTTAAGGTGCATATTAATATGATTGCATGCAATCCAGAGTTTGAGATCAAGAACAAACTTTCGGCTCTGTCGAGGCCTTCTGTTTTCAAGATAGTGCATTTACATATGTGCAAGTGGAAAAGTAATTCTCAAAGCCATTCATTTCAATGACCCAAGATATGCATAACCAAACGCTAAAATTAGGTGGTAGATAAGAAGGCAAACATGCACAAGAAAACGTCCAAAGTAATGATTATAATAACAAAATGATAATTTAGTTACCAGCCAAAATTTAATGAATAATTGATGGGGCGGGACATATTGTCTCGTTTCAATATTTTTTTATAATTTAAGGATATATAGACACACCATCACGTAAACGCTTATTTGAAGGTTCCTCCATGCTTGCTTCCTTTGTAGGCAGATTGGAGAAGTTGAATTTTGATTCTGCATCTTTCCTTAAACGGACATTGGTGTGAGATTTTCCTGCAATGCAACCAAGATAACATATTAACATCAGGAGGATATTGGATGTGAGAGGATATTGGATGTTTTAAAAGGTTTATTTTCTCAATATCCCATGCTTAGTAGTCAAAAGATTGTTAAGCGCAAAACTTTTTCATAATCAATAAGAAGAAGGGTTATTGGCAAGGAAAAGAACATGCATAAGATGGAGAGAATAGTAAATGATTTCTTAAACTAACAGCCAGGAAAAAAGAAAAAAAAAAA